TGTGCTTCAGCACGGTACACTTCATGCACGAGCACAAGAACGCTGACAGCCTTCATTATGGAGAAATCCAGAGTTTCATGTCTGTATCTGACTAACATGACTCAATGTAAGACACAAAGCAGCTCTCATGTTCTGTGTTGTTCTCCGATGTGCAAGTCCATTTCTCTCTCTCTCTCTCTCTCTCTCTCTCTCGTCCGCCTGTTTGTCAACTGAGCACGTTTCATAACATAAAGCGTGCATGCGTTCTATTACGACATTATGTACAAGAGGAAATCGTGCTTAAGCACGGATAGCCGAGCAGTTATTGTGCCTCTTACAAAACTACAAGCTTCTTTTTACAGTTTCTTTCTGGCTGTCGCTGCAGACTTGTTGATATTATTGGAGGATTATGCATCATCTGGCCAACTGGTAGACGCTGTTTGCTCCCTCTGATGCACTGAAATGGTAGTCATAACAGCTTCTAAGTATGTGTTCTCGGCTATGTCAGTGATACTGCTACTATAATACATGGTCATGGTCTTGAAAACAGAAGGAAAGAGTCATGTGGGCAGAGAAGGAGGGTGTTTTTATGTCTCTGTAGTGATATCATGGCACCTGTTCTTTTGTCTCTCCTTACATCGATTTTCTCTTTTTTCATCCACCCTTCGTGTAACTACTTTATTCATCAGGGATTCAACCATTACTGTAATGCTCTACTTATTTCTTCCTCTTCCCTCTCTCATGTATCTCTGTAGGAGGCATGTTTACCATCAGGCATCAGTTTAATTTACTACCCTCTTAAGTCACTAAGGACAAAAATGTCCATGCCAAAAAACTGACCATAACCCTTTAAATGCCAGCTTGATTACATGATTCTGGCATTTAAAGGGTTAAATTCCTGATAATTATTCAATATTTAATATTTTTGAGCAGGGCTGGAGTTGTTTCTGAGATTTTGCAAAAAAAAGGTGAAAAAATATGAATCTGTTTTATTATAGCAGTTTTTGTAAATTGGACATTTTCGCCTCCAATGTCCAAACAGGGAACTACATTTTAAATCTGATGCTACACAAAAACTAACAATGCATCAAAGTCAATATTTTGAATAATCTTTTTTAAATATTTATTTTTGGGCTTTTGTGCCTTTTAATGGAGAGACAGGACAGTGGATAGAGTCGGAAACCAGAGAGAGAGAGTGGGGAACGACATGCGGAACCGCGGGCCGCCCGCTTGAGACAACAGCCTCAATGCATGGGGCGCGCGCCTAACCATTGCGCCACCAGCGCCCCTATTTTGGATATTTAAAAAAAAAATCCCCCAGCTACCAAATATTTGCTATATGGAAAATAAATAATTTTTGTGTTTTTTTCTTAAATAACAACAGTGACATCAAGTAATCAAACTGGCATTTAAAGGGTTAAATTCCTAAAAATGATTGAATGTTTGGTAGTTTTGAGCAGGGCTGAAGTTGTTTAAGAGAGTTATGCAGAAAAAAGTAGAAAAAAACATCAATCTGTTTTATTTTTATATCAGTTTTTTCGAAGTGGACATTTTTGTCCTCAGTGACTTAAGAGGGTAGTAAACATGTTTCTCAGTGTTCTATTGATCTATTAAAAAAAAAAAGTGCATTCCAAAATGTGTCAAGAGAGAGTCTTTCTTATAAAAAATGGTGCCATATGCACTAACAGACAAAATGATGACCAGATGAAGAGGAAACATTTGACCAAATGGACAAAAATGTCCATAGTGATGCATGAGGGTTAAGCAATGACCATTATCTTAATAAACAAGTGGCACACATTGCTGTTCAGCCAATGGTGTCCACCCTATCAGTATTTATCTAGTCTAGCTTGGGCAAGAAATACACTTGTATGTCTCCGAAGATGACGTCAAACAGTTCATTTAACAGGAAACAGTTCTGTTAAAGCTTTTGTTGTGGCCTTCATTGAATGCTTCCTGCTTTCTGTTTGCCCTCCTTTTTGAGAAACAGCTGGACACGAGGCCAAGTAAGCAGCTGGGGGAGAGTATGAGAGGAATGAGGCAAAAAAAAAAAAACGTGTTGAGAACTTGGAGTTCTGACCATTTTCACAAACATTTTCAACGGCTTGTCCGTGCAGAAAGCAGACACTATCTACTGTTGGTGAGTTTTAGAAGTGGGTCCCACCGTCTTAAAGTTAAAAGAAGCTTTTAACTCTACTATCCGACCAGCTCTATTTTAAGAGTGTGTCACGGCTTTAATCTCACCCTTACTTCAGTTTAAATCCTCGGCTGCTCTAGCTGCTACATTCGGCATCTCTACATTCAGCTTTAAAGGGAAATAAATCCTCATATTCATACATCAAAGTCTAATTTGGCTTCTTTAGCAGCTGCTTCACCAAAGTGGTCGATATTCATCTGTTTGGAAAGTGAAATGTGAAATGAGTCAATTCAGCATCTTCTGTACCGTGAAAGCCCTTAACCCCCTAATCTCCAACCTTTAGCCTCTGCACTGTTACCCCAACTCTGACCCTTTAACCTCCATCATACCAGGAGCACAAAGGCTACTTAAAAGAGCACAAGCCCTGAAAAGTGTGTGTGAGTGTGTGTGGACAAAAAGGTGATCTTGGTTCAGGCTAAATACAGCACAGAGTCAGGAGAGGGCTTAGAAGTCGTTAAGAGGGCTTATCCCACACACACACACACACACACACACACACACTCACACACAGAGTCACACACACACACACACACACACAGCGTCACACACACACACACACACACACACACACACACAGCGTCACACACACACACACACACACACACACACACACACACACACACACACACACAGCGTCACACACACACACACACACACGCGCACACACACACACACACACACAGACACACACGCTCACACGCAGAGTCACAGACACACACACACACACACACACACACACACAGACACACACACAGATGCACGCACACAAACACACACACACACACAGCGTCACTCACACTCACACACACACACACACACAGCGTCACACACACACACACAGACAGACACGCAGACACACACACAAGACTCTCTGGAGGCACACACACACACACACACACACAAACTAACACACACACACACACACACACACACACACACACACAACTAACACACACGCACACACAAGACTCTCTGGAGGCACACACACACACACACAAGACTCTCTGGAGGCGCACACACACACACACACACACACACACACACACACAGCGTCACACACACAGAGTCACACACACACACACAGACACACAGCGTCACACACACACACACACAAGACTCTCTGGAGGCACACACACACACACACACACACACACACAAACTAACACACACGCACACACAAGACTCTCTGGAGGCACACACACACACACACACACACACAAGACTCTCTGGAGGCGCACACACACACACACACACACACACACACACACACACACACAGCGTCACACACACAGAGTCACACACTCACACAGACACACAGCGTCACACACACAGACACACAGTGTCACACACACACACACACACACACACACACACACACACACACACACACACACACACACACACACACACACACACACACACACACAGTATGTTAATGGTTGTTTTGATGCTGGATGATGGCATCGTGATTGTGCAGATGATGCGTTCCAAAGGGAGATCAGCAGTTTCCACATCCACCGTGTTATAAGAAAAACCAACAAAGTTTTGAGTTCGGCTTTTAACCTTTAAAATGACGAGAAACAATAGAAAATAATTCTATAAAAGCGACATTACACACAATTTAACATGAGAATAAATGGAGAGAAGGGCTGAAATTATTTGTCAATTTATTTAGTAGTCAATGAAAGGATAACAAATTCAAAATACTTGCACATTTTTAGAATAATTCTGCTATACCTGTCATGACAACACCGTTAACTTCTATAATCCTAATATACCTGCATACCTAAAGGTTTTTCTGTTTTGTTCAAGCGTTTTTTTGTGTACAACTTTCAGCAGACGGAGGTCAAAAAGCTCCAACAACACTTATGAAGATCAACTTTATTAACAAATCTTCATACTACAAGTGCTGCTGGAGCTTTTTGACCTCTTCTAGCTTTTCACTCTTCATGCACTTTGGTATTTGGTGAAGTTGTGTCAGAAAATCCCGCTCTGCTTCTTTACAACTTTTATCCAACAATATAAGTAAAAAGCTGATGTTCCTCCTGTTAAGATTTGAGAGCACCACTCAAGTGTTTTTTTATACTGTGCTTCAGCCAATTGAAGATCGTTGATTGTTTTAAATTAAGCTCTCTTCAGTTTGAGCCAATATTCAGAGTAGAGAGCAGAGACCATTTACTGGAACTTGAATTCACTTTTTTAAGGATAATCTATCCTTTACCAGTTTGATGATGCGATTATTTCTGTTCTCTCTCTTCAGCTGTCCTTTAAAATACAGGCAAAAGGTCCAAAAATATAAAAGGTAAAAAATCTGAAACACTCGTAGTTTTTAAATCGTTTTATTTTGATTGGAGCAACAGTTAAAAAGTGGAAGTCGGGTTAATCTGCATCTTTGTCTCTGTGGTCAGTGATGTCTCCCTCTGTCACAGTGGTTACAGCAGCCACGTTTCCTGGTGCTCTTGACTCACTTAGCAGTAACTACACACACCAGAAACACACATACACACACACATAAACACACATCTCACAAGGTGACGTGCTCTCCGTCTGGTTCAGCAACCACAAACACAATGTGCCACAGTCACTTTGCACCTCAACGATAATTATGTAAATAAGGCCAAGGTTAAGTGTGAGTCTGTCTGCATGTTATGTTTGCTCTGCTTGTCGAGTTTGGTGACTTTTTTTATACAAATAAATATTTTGCTTTCCATGATTACAGGAACGGTTTGAATGAAGACAGAATGCATTCAATATTTGGATTAGTCTATGAAACCTTTATTTCTCTGTGTTTTGTTTTAATCCTCGTCCTCTCCTTTTCTTCCAGAGTGACCAAGTTCTGGTTTGGTGTGAAAACCACAGACGCTGCTCTCAGGTAAAAACACACACATCCACACAAACTGTGGATGCTGCATGATGCAATTTCCTGATGGCTAACCAAAACATGAATCAGTGTGACTAACCCCAAATTTAACCACATACTTAAGCTCCTCAAAAACCCTTACATAGACCCTGGAAAACCAAGTGGTGGGAGACGTAGAGAACAGGGGTGAGATAACCTGGTAACACTGACGATTGGCTGGGTTTCCTGTGAGGGTTCTTGTCCTTTCTACTGAAATAGCAACTCTCCTTGGAAAGTTTCTGTGGAACTGGAGGTGATGGCATGAAGCTTCTGTGGGTTACACCTTCCTGGTTAAGCCAATTGCTGGACAGGGAAAAGAAGCAGCCCAGAAATAATGGTGAAAGTAGCTGTGACACGGGCTTCAGTACAAATTGGACTGTGCGTTTAAAAAAAACAGAAAGACAGCACAAAGACTTATTGTTACAAGCTACAAGAAATAAGAAAGGGGCTGGAGGCAGAATTTGATTTAATGAGACGAGCTCTGTGACTTCATGTTTTTTTTCATTAGCTCATGGATTTCAAATTTGCATCCTGTCAAAGGGTTGTAGTTGTGTTTTAAGCAGAGTACAGGTGTTTCTGATTAATTAAATTCATATAACAGGATAAACTATTAAAACATTTCAGATTAATATTTTCAATATGTGCTTAAGGTATAAAATAATGGCAACTATAGTATGTCCTCTTTGTTTTCTTCTGCCACTGGGATAATGGTCAGAATCCCATGTCGCTGCATGAGTAGATGATGATAGTTTAAAGGCTTTATATGTGATTTTTTGATCCAGCAGATGTCGCCCTTGAGCACCAGCATGAAACCAAAACGACTCGCGCTGCATTGTTGTGTTAGCCTGCTAATGCTAGCGATCTTTATTATGCTGGTATCTTCACACTGCATGTAAATTTACCTGAAATGAGCGTGATCTAGAAACTCAGTTAAGCAGTGAGTACAGTATGTTATTCTTCTTTTCTCTAGTCCCTCAATTAAACAACTTTTATACGTGAGGGGAGGAGTCAGTCGGCCGTCCGGGCGATGTAAACAAACTGAAGATAGGACTCTGGCCTGTGTATTATTTCACATAGCGTTACATCGTTGTCCGTTTATTAGCCGTATGTGTTAATAAACAGCGTTTAGTGCCAGAAATACAATAAAAAAGGATTGGGCTCGAGTCTAAAACCACGAGTCCGAGTCGACTTTGAAGTCTTTTAGGTGTGAGTCCAAGTCAAGTCTCAAGTCACATTTGTGTGCAACTTTGATTCCAAGTCTCAAACTTGAGTCCAAGTCTCAAACTTGAGTCCCCATCTCTGACAATCACACACACTTAAGACACACACACACACACACACACACACACACACACACACACAGTACTTTTCTGCCTGTGATACTATCTCTGATGCCTTCACCCCACCATCGTTCCTCCATGACATTTACACTGACGGGCAAGGAGTAAAGTCCTGTCTTTGAACTCACAGTATCATCGGTATAGAGAGAGTCCTTGCTTTCTTTGTCCATGAAATCCTCACACACACCACACGGCTCGTGCAAAGGTTGTGTTTTTATAGGTACAATAACCTCTATTACCCGTCCCCACTGGATTAAAAATTGATCCTGTTTATTCACTTAACAAGGGCCTGCCAGGGGACTTTAGTGTGTGTGTGTGTGTGTGTGTGTGTGTAGTAGTAGTCGTAGTCCATTGTTTGATTTAAGAGGAGTTTCCATGCTGTGTGTATTTTTAGCTGCCAGTCTGTCCACTCTGTAGCAGCTTGATTGAGCTTTTAGACTGCTGGTTCTGTGTCCAAAACAGAGACAGTTGGTTGAAAAATTAAACATGGATGTCCACAATGCAGATCATCATGTTTTAATCAGAACCAGATGGAAACTTATTTCAAGACAATGTCGTCAGTATTTGTAATTTAAAAATGAGAGAGAGAAATTGAAAGGAGGAAAATCCAATTCTGATCTTTGAAGCTGTTTGTACCTGAGATCAGAAATTCTTTAATGCTGCCTTGAAGTGTGCAAAATATCTGTCCACCATCCCTTTTCTCACAGACCATAACTCACTCAATATTAATGACTTCTTGAAAGATTCTGTCTGGTTTGGTATTGATGTGTTTTCTGAACTCTCCGTTCAGGTTCAGACATATATATATAAAAAAGCCTGGTGTCGGCTGAAAGCACACCTGAGTCGTATTTTACTTCTTGTAACATTTCCAAGCCTTTCTGAGAATTTAAATGATGGATAAATAAAGGCTAAAAGGCAAGAAACAGGCGTGAGAGTTTAGAGCTTTTTTCTCTGCATGGAGCGTAAATCAGTCGTGTGTGAGTATGTTTAGGTCAGCCTGTCCTGCTCAAAAACGTAGAAGTATCAGCCGTCATCTCTAAAGTATAACACCCGCTCTTGAAAACACAAACACTTTTTTTTTTCTTTTTATTATCCGTCTTTATTGACAAATTTAAAACATACAAAAAATGTTTATACAAAATCTTATAGAGGATGAACATACAACAGCAAAATACACAAGAACAAGTTAATTCAAACATAAATTAAGACTAAGGGGGGATTATATATAAAAATAAATACATAAAAATCAAAATTTTCCAAAAGTATACATCAGGCAAATGTAAGCAAGACAACAATCTGGAGCAAGGACAAAAACTGTCAACAAGGGCCAGAAATCAAAACAGCTAGAATTTCGACAAGTCAGCACTCAATCTTTCTAGCAATCTAGATTTCATTTCTTTCAGAGATAAGAAAAAAGATTTGAACACAAACACACACAGCCTCTGACCTATAGACCTGACCTCTATCTGCATCCTTTCTTTCCTTCCTCCCTTCCTCCCTCTTCTCCCTTCCTTTGTTTCTATTCCTGATGTTTAAAGTTCAACAAAGAAACAAGAGGGAAAGAGAAAATATCTTCTACTTTAAATCATGTCTTTACTTTATCACCCTGGCTTTGTGCCTTGCTGTTGTACATGTGTTAATACCAGTGTGGCACTATGTTGTAACAGACGTCCAACTACACTCTCTGAAACTTACCAGTGGGGGCCTGAGGTTGTATAAAACCACACATTTTTCTCTCTCAGACAGCCTGATACTGCACAGGCATGCTCAGTCTCTTCTCTGTGGTTATTAATTTTTACATTTTACAGTCTGTTGAAAGTGGCCACAGCCCAATTTGTAAAAGTCACCACGGCAGGCCAAAAAAAATAAATTAGCACAGAGAAGCACATATCCAAGTCCTGAGCCATAATTGCCAAAATTAATCAAAATAATGAATTGTACTGCGGAGAAAACTCAGCACTATTTAATGCTCCCAAGGTATGTGTATTTGTTAAAGAGTGAATTTGGGAGATGTTCAGGGCTGGTTACTTTCTTTTATTGATTATTCTCTTCGGAGGCATTAAAGAAAAGGCCAAGTACACTTTGTTTTATTTCATTAGGCTAACAAATACTCCCAGGGTTCTGTTTTACTCTTTTTATTAAATCTATTAGAAACATATTTGATAGAAGGAGGTAAACAAGATCCCCCACAGATTATAAGAAACTACAAAGAGAAAGACTGAAATATTGTCTTAAATACTTTAGTCTCAGTTGATGGAAATATCGATTCTTCTCCGCACCAATTTGGTCCGAACTTAACAATCTGATTGACATTCAGGCTGCTCAGATGATGCATCTCAAATTAGTTTTTGGTATTTAATAACTTTTTTTCCATGCAAACCCATTAAAGGCAGAATGTGTTGCATTTTACTCATGAATAAATCATAAATCCAGTCTGTCCTGTGTAAATGTGTCTCTGAGTCCTGACTGTCTACAATGAGGGAGAAGCTCGAGTCCTGCTGGCTGTGTTGTTGTCAGAGCCGTGTTTACATGGACGGGACGGCCGGCTCCTCCCCTTGTGTATAAAAGCTGTTTTAGTCAAGAACTAGAGAGAAGAAGAAGAACATACTCACTGATTATTTGGATGTTAGTAAGAGTTTTTAGATCACGCTCATTCTGTGTCAGTTTACATGCAATGTGAAGCTACGAGCTAACCAAAGTGTGCTAGCATTAGCATGCTAACACAACATTGCAGGCCACAAGCAATTGCAGCTCAAGCAAAGGACAATTTTGCCCACCACTTGTGCTTAATGGTGCTTTATTGTGGTGCGTTCTAATTGATAACTCCTTCATGTGAACTCGAGTGGAGGGGGGGTTGGAGGTGTGTCGCTGGAGGAGGGCGGAGGCTTCAGAATAACGGAGGTGTCACCAACAGCAGTTTGTTTTGGTTTCATGCTGGTGTTCTAGGAATTCATCTACTGGGTCAAAAAGCTGCACACTCTTCCTAAAGGCCAACATCAGTGTTTTTGTGTTAAAAATCTCAAAACCTGTTGGATGGGAGAGATTTTGTACACACATTAATTCTACCCTCACATTGGATTGTAATGGCTTAATGGCAGATACTAAAAGGGAGCTTAATTTACTATTATCCCAGAAGAGCTGAATTGATCATTCATAAGACTTCAACATTACTTCATGGCATTTGGCCTAGTTGTCTTTTGGCAAATAAATTAAAAAATAATCATTCATTTACAAATATTGCGGCTATTACATCAGAAACTGGGATCACAATAAATCATCCTCTGTCGATTAATCAAAGATTTGACACCTAATATAAACAGCTGCACACATTAGACAACAAGTCTTCAGCACTGGAAAGAGACAATTATCTGAATGAACTGAATCTGACTTCTCTCTAAAAAGGGGAAGCTTCTTAAATATGTGCCCTGATGTCTCTTGATGAACTTAAACAATGGTTAGCCAAAATGAATAAGGGTAAGTCACCAGGAATTAATGGTATGCACCCTAAGGTCTATTTGAAAATTTGGGCCATTTTTTGTGATAATACTCCCGTTGAAAAAGGAAAAGGATCTAACTAATGACACTAGCTACTGCCCTCTGTCTTTATTAAATGCAGATGTTACATTATTTCTA